GGTGTAGTGTGGCGTGGTGGCTTGTCCTAGGTTGTATTGTATTGTGTCATGTGACGCGGTACAGTATACTTTTATTATTTATTTATTTATTTTTGCCTTTTTATTCTATGCTTCCCTTGGCGCCGGTAAGTCACACGCGCTGGAATATTTTCTGCATTTGCCCTCGTGCTGGGTGCGTGTCTTTGCACCTTGCTTAGGAAAAAGAGTAGGTACATCCATGGTTGTGCTGCAAAGAGGCAACACGAAAAAAAGGAGTCGGACGGAGCCACCCCCGTTCAAATGCTCAGGGATTTGTGACACCGCGAGGACAGCCTGCGTGCGGGGGTCGACGTTTGTCGCTTACCTTGTGATGTGTGCCTTTGGCAAATGAATTTCCCACGCTCGCCGTATCCTTTCATTCATCCAGTTTGTCCAGCCTTGCTTGTTTTGACCAGTCACTTGGCTCGGGTCTTTCACCGGGCCGTTTGTGCGGCGCCTGGCGAGCCTTGCCATGGCTCCTAACGATCCTTAGCTTCATCGCTCACGTTTTCTTTATAATCTTAGAGCGCAACAAGCAACGCTTTATTCGTGGATGTTGCATCAACGTTCGGTTGACGAAAGTAAATGATGAGCATAGTCCATGCTACACTCATTGTAGGCAGTTCACCTCCCCTAGTGTTGGTTCACATTCACTTCGGACGTTTCACATTCACTATGGTTGGTTCACATTCACCGCCGTAGATTTACGTTCACTGGTACGGTTGATGTTCACTAACGTCCGCTATTGTTCGCTAGACGGCTCATATGCTCTACTTGCCTCACATTCGCTGGCTGTTCCAATTCACAATGTCGGTTCACATTCACCAGTTGTAGGTCCACATTCATGAATACCAAGTTCGGACCGCTAGCGTTGGTTCGCATTCACTGCTACAGGCTTACATTCACTACTGGCGGTTCACATCCACATTCACTACTGTCGCAATTCACTTACTGCTGACAATGCACATTTTATCTTGTCCAATATCACTGTTCATGTTGCTGTTGTTCGATACGATGATGCAACCCCAGGACTGGAGGGATGCCGTGCACGAGGAAACCAGTGCAGCAGTCAAGGGCGCAGTGGGACCGGGCAGCGACGGTGGCGGCGCTAATGGTAGCAGCGGCAGCGGCGGCGTCGGTGTCGCCGCGGCGAGAGACGGGGTAGCTTCCACCAACCTCGGTAGTCGTGGCATCAGCAGCGGAGGGGACGGTGTACGTGGCGGTGGCGGTGGGGGTGGAACCGGAATCTCGGGCACCGAGAAGGTTTGCGAATGTACCATGACTTCACATGGTGGATGGATTTCGTTTCGGAGCTTGGTGTCGTGTTGTGGGTGCGCGAATTTCCTCCGAAAGTACCCTTTGACGCTCTCTTGCAAACTCCAAGCGCACCGTTGGGCAGACGAATACGCCGTCGCCCGCGCGCAGAAGAAACGGGTTTGCACGGCCCCTATGGTTTTCAATGACATGGCAACGTTTGGTGTGCTGATTTTTCATGCATGTGCTTCGTGGAGGAGACGTGGCCTAGTGTGGTGCTACCGACGGAGGGGATACGCAAGATACCCGGAACGGATATAATCATGTTCTGCCCGTCGGATGAGTGAAACACTGCTGTAGTGTCCGGTATTTGCCGCCGGTTGACACATTCGTTGAGCACGTCGGGACTTTTTTTCAGCGGAGCGCAGTCTGACCCCCTTATCTTCAGACCACGCCAGCAAAGCTTCAGCTTGCACCCCAGTCCGGTTTTTCTCTCTAGCGTCGATGTTNTGAAACACTGCTGTAGTGTCCGGTATTTGCCGCCGGTTGACACATTCGTTTAGCACGTCGGAACCTTTTTTCAGTGGAGCGCAGTCTGACCCCCTTATCTTCAGACCACGCCAGCAAAGCTTCAGCTTGCACCCCAGTCCGGTTTTTCTCTCTAGCTCAACAGCACGAGTCGCAGCACCACCACCAGGACGCCAAAGACCAGCTTCGGCAGGAAGCAAAGCAAACGGTGTTAGCGGTGGTACCGGCGACTGCGGGGCGTCGAGTGGCCACCCTGGGGACGCCATTGAAATGCCAGGAGAACCAACGATACTAGCAGGGCTCCGAGCGGGAGGAACTAATCNCAGGACGCCAAAGACCAGCTTCGGCAGGAAGCAAAGCGAACGGTGTTAGCGGTGGTACCGGCGGCTGCGGGGCGTCGAGTGGCCACTCTGGGGACGCCATTGAAATGCCAGGAGAACCAACAATACTAGCAGGGCTCCGAGCGGGAGGAACTAATTGTAGCGAAGGGGGCATCGTGGTTGCACCGGCGGCGGCGACGGGCATGGATTGCCGTAGGATCTGGGAGGTTCGCGCGTCGGAGGTTCTGTCCGACAGGGAGAGGGGGTTGCTACCGAACGAGCACCCGGTTCAGCGTGTGTCGCTACAGGTGCGCGGTGTCGTTTCCCACCTTGTAATATCAATTTCATAAGGAGTTAGAGAATCGTTCCACCGCGACTTCCAAAAGGGCGCTCGATCCGCTCGTCCGTGGTGTTCGCTCGGCAATGACGACCAGCATGCCGTCGGGGCAAACACGGACACCTTCTGCAGGCACCTGAAAAAGTTTACCCGGGAACGGGGGTAATGAGCTCCGCGGTCCACCAATCTGACACGTAGACAGCCTGCACAGGCAGTGCCAGTGTAGGCAAGCAGGTAAGTGTGTTACTGGGTGCTCCCAGAAGAAGTCGATGGACGAGAGACTGCTGTATACGCCGGGCAGGCAGGCCGCCCATGCTCTTCTGGGCACGTATTTCTACCACGTTCCGCAATATAGCTGGTGCTGTCCCTGTGTACCGCATAGCTAGTTAATTCGATGAACACGGATTCGACCGTCCATATCCGGTCAACTCGTTCCCCTCATTGTAAGAGTCCGCGCACGGACAAACGCACGGTTACGGACTACAACCGTCCGTGCCGTGGCTGTCTGCTGTTTCTTTCAGCCTACACGCGCTCCAAGCAGTGACTTCTGTAGTGCACGTTTCTCGAGGCGTACCACCGCGCAACTTGTGTCTCTAGACCAAAGGTTTTGGACAGTTAAAGAACACCCGGGCCAAGACGGACGGCAGGGAATGACAAGACCCGCAGCTCCCGCACCGGAAAATCNCAGTGACTTCTGTAGTGCACGTTTCTCGAGGCGTACCACCGCGCAACTTGTGTCTCTAGACCAAAGGTTTTGGACAGTTAAAGAACACCCGGGCCAAGACGGGAATGACAAGACCCGCAGCTCCCTCACCGGAAAATANCAACTTGTGTCTCTAGACCAAAGGTTTTGGACAGTTAAAGAACACCCGGGCCAAGACGGACGGCAGGGAATGACAAGACCCGCAGCTCCCGCACCGGAAAATCTGCCCATGCGCCATGGATCTATAGAATATGTCTACCAGCATTCGACCCGCTGACGAAAAGTCGATTGAGCTCCACCGCTCTATCTTCGGAGGATTTTTGTCGGACGTCCACAAAAGGTTATCGGATGACCCCACACTCTGTCGTGGACTTCTGCTTCACCTTTCTCAATCCGTCATTGCTCACGCCCTTGCTCACCCAAGCTCTGAATGGATGGAGCTCACGCACATGTGGCAAACCCGGTGCACACATGTAGATAGAAGTCGCTTTGTGGCACAACCAAACCAGCTGGTTCCTGGAGGGTGGCCTGTGCAGGCTTTTGCATGGCTTGTTCATGCAGTTGACGGGAAATGGTGGACCAACAAAGACGCACAAGCAACGGATACCGACGTCAGTGGCTATGATGCGTGCGTGGGCCCCTCCTTGTTCTTCGCCCAAAGGATAGGTGTCAGGAGACAATCTCGAGAGTCGAGACACGTCGCTCGGGAGCTTAAAAACGCACTGTTTCTCTTCAGTTCGGATGCTGATGCTTCAATGCGCCCCCTCCCTGATGTTACTGTGAACCTTATTCGCAGGGGGGTTTCGCAGGCTGGGACAACGCGCCAAGAGACTGTTCTCGGATGGCAGAGGGGCAAGCAAGGCGTTGGCAGGCAGACGCTTTGAGAGAGAACGACGGGCTGAGGATAGCCAAGATGTGCGACGATTTGCGACGCAAGCGGAGAGGGAAGCAATCGCAGCAGGAGCTGCAGTAAGTCAAAGACAAAGCCAACAAGTCATGACCGCACCAATGACGACGTCGACCACCACAACAGCAACGATGACATGCGGCGTGTCAACATCACCAATGACTTGATGGCCTATGTAGTGCNAGCAATCGCAGCAGGAGCTGCAGTAAGTCAAAGACAAAGCCAACAAGTCATGACCGCACCAATGACGACGTCGACCACCACAACAGCAACGATGACATGCGGCGTGTCAACATCACCAATGACTTGATGGCCTATATAGTGCTGAGATAACGCAGGTTGCTGGGCGAGTCATTCTAATCCCTTGCGTACTATTAGCCAGGGTATTAAAATCCGGGATGTGAATGCACTCGGATACCNGACACGTCGCTCGGGAGCTTAAAAACGCACTGTTTCTCTTCAGTTCGGATGCTGATGCTTCAATGCGCCCCCTCCCTGATGTTACTGTGAACCTTATTCGCAGGAGGGGGGCTTCGCAGGCTGGGACAACGCGCCAAGAGACTGTTCTCGGATGGCAGAGGGGCAAGCAAGGCGTTGGCAGGCAGACGCTTTGAGAGAGAACGACGGGCTGAGGATAGCCAAGATGTGCGACGATTTGCGACGCAAGCGGAGAGGGAAGCAATCGCAGCAGGAGCTGCAGTAAGTCAAAGACAAAGCCAACAAGTCATGACCGCACCAATGACGACGTCGACCACCACAACAGCAACGATGACATGCGGCGTGTCAACATCACCAATGACTTGATGGCCTATGTAGTGCTGAGATAACGCAGGTTGCTGGGCGAGTCATTCTAATCCCTTGCGTACTAATAGCCAGGGTGTTAAAATCCGGGATGTGAATGCACTCGGATACTGCAAGAGAGAAACATTCAACACAGGCGTGTGCTGAGCAGTAGAGCCTCGTTTCCTTTGCATAAGAAAAAACCGACTGGAAGGGAGGTTCTTCGATTTGGAATGCGCGCTGCATATCTGCTGGACCCCACCGGTTCCCTCCGAGAGGGCACGATTCACACACTAGGTACCATTATGACCAGGGTCTTTCATGACCGCGGAGGAACGGTTGGTGTTCTACATATCTTGGTCTTGATATCGGAACTACCTTTCTCCTGAGACTCTCAACAGTGTTGCTGTTTTTTCGCCTTCCAGGTTGTTCGAAGAAAGAGCACGCGGCTAGGTTTTGCGGATCGAAGATACGACTGGTAGTCTAGTATTTGTTCAGCCGAAAAATATCCAAACGTCCTTGATCAACCTACACGTCAGTTGGGGGTGGGTGTTCAACGTCGTCAACGCTCGTTGCCAAGAACCGTGAGAGGCGAAGAGATGACACACGTCGGGGAGATGGCACAGAGGTGCGAAATACAAACCCAAGAACCGCATGAATTACTGTAGTTAGATCGCCGCACTGGGGTCAGCATCACACCGGGTGCGATCTGTGTAATACCGTGTCTGACACCGTATATACACCAGCACCCTTTAGATGGCAACCACATTGTTTTTCGTCCTTGTCATACCATAGCGAAATCTGCATTCGACCACCCATGACCACTCGCTGCATGCGGCTTTACATCTACCTTAGCAACAACGTACCTACACGTACGTGCGATGCGCCCACAGCACACAAAATACAGTACGAGGTTTCTGTTCCCATGTACCTGGTATAAAAAAAATGGCGCCCCCAAAACTGCTGAAAGCAAAAAAAATACACAAAAACTAAACACGAACATCACACACGCGCACTACTTGAAACTTGATTGTTTTCTGTACATACATCTAGTCTAGAGCAGAGCGGCCCAGGGCAGAGATGGCAACGGGTGGGTGCATAAAATTAACGTAGCACCTTCAAACAAGGGCCTGTGGGCGCATTTAATTGGGTATCGCACTCATCGGAAAGATGCCAAAGAAAAGGGGTGTCTTGAAAAAGCGAAGCCAAACGATTTACAGTCTGCACGGGGCGGAGAGATGGCACCGCCGACCGGAGAAATCACATCGCGGTGTGAAAAAAACGCGAAATATCGAAACGATTGTCGCACGCCGTGCATCTCTCCACCTATAAGTACACCTCCTATTCGGTGATGGTGTACAGTTTGCGCCCGCAAAACGTTTATTTCAGGTCCAGCCTCGAGTTCTCATTGTGGGAAAAAAACTCAGCGTCATTCAAGTTCTCACTTCTGGACCACCTAGTCTTATGTATGTCCACAATTGTCAAGTTTCTTATTTTTCGTGCCGCCAAATCCTTGGCTGAATTTCTTAAATCAGCAGTTTCTTATTTTCTCTGCTCACGAGAGCTGGCGGAGAGCAAGATCACAACCGTACAGCAAACAGCATTTCGTGGTTCGCAGCCTGTCTGATGTGCTCTGCCAGAGTCGGAGCGCCAGAGAGCGCCCAGAGACGGCAGGGGGCCGGAGGGGGCGCCGCAAAAAACACACACACTCAACTCCCCCCTCGTCGTACAACTAATTATGCACGTGCGAGGGGGGGTAGTGGGAGAGGGGGGAAAGAGCGAGATATAAGGAGGGGCTGTAGGAGTGTTTCTTATTCGACACAATCTCCCGTAACCCCTCGTTTCTTATGTAGTCAGTAGTAGGGCAACGGTCGCTGCTGTTTCTTGTCTAGACATTTCTTGATGTGTGACCCAGACACCCAGACTGAGCCTGACATGTTTCTTAACCCCTTTGGGTCTAGGCTACTCGCCAGTCAAACGGGTGGTCCGCCGCCCGCATGTTCCCGTTCGAAACATATTTTATATTTTCTAGAACCAAAAAAAAAAGAGGGGTGAGAGCGAGACCGTTAGAGCGAGAAGTGCAGAGGAAGTCTCTGTTGTACTTCTCCACACGCAACAGCTATCTCCACCTGTAGGCTATTAGGGTAGCCCGCGACAGGATGTTGACCGAAGACAGGGTCATC